AGGGAGAGAGAAGGAGCAGGGAGAGAGGAGAGAGAGAGAAGGAGCAGGGAGAGAGGGGAGAGAGAAGGAGCAGGGAGAGAGGAGAGAGAGAGAAGGAGCAGGGAGAGAGGAGAGAGAGAGAAGGGGCGGGGAGAGAGAAGGAGCAGGGAGAGAGGGGAGAGGAGGGAAAGTGAGAGGAGAGAGGAGGGAGAGGGACATGGGAAACAGGGAGAGGAAGAGACAGGAGGAGGGAGCTGGGAGAGAGGGAGAGGGGATTCGAGAGGAAGAGGGGATTTGGAAATGGGGGACAGGGAGGTTTAAAACCCGCAATTTAAGCTTTTATTAGTCAAATCAATATACAAATACAGTGCTTCTTTTGCTGCACTTAATATAGCGAATTAAGCTCACTCCTTCTGCTGAGTTCAGTTCTGCTGTTGAAATTCCTGTTTGTTTCCACTAAGGAGCCTCCAAGGCACAGGCCAGCAGAGGGGCTTAGGGCTGTGGAAACAGGCTTCTGTGTGTGTGTGCGTGAGAGAGAGAGAGAATACAGTGTTTTCAAAGCTCAACACGCTCATTACAGGAGGCTTTGACAGTCCAATACAAGACAGCTGAACCATTTCCTCTGGTTCTCTGCCCCGGAGGAGGATGAGAGGTTTATCGGAGGAGATCATAACTTAGGTATCAGGTTGTTACAACATGCCTCGGTGCGTTTTGGCAAATCTGAGACCCTGGCCCTCAGTTTTCAGAGGACTATAGGTACGTAATCTGTCAGAAGCACTGCACTGCAAAGTCTCACCAGAGAGAGCACTAATCTACTGTCGCTGTCCTCATGCAGTCACCCTAGAAACTCCCCAGGAGTTCAGGAATTCGATCTATGGCCTCTACACTGGGAGATTGGTAAGACTGGTGGACTATTTCATAGCACATGGGGGCCTGGGAATGCACAGATTTGTAGGCACGGCTTGGTAGAAAATGGAGCTGATGGTTTCTTCACCTGGGGAGGAACTACATTACCCAGAATGCCTTGTGTGGGGCTGCATCAGAGCAAGAAAATGTCTTCCTTTCCTACTACAAGTCCAATGATGCATTGCTGTTTGTTGAAATGCTGAGTTAATTATGTGATAGTATTTCCAATGTTAGTGTAATTATCACTGTTATTATTTGTTATCATTTTGATTTTTATTCTTATATTGTTAGAATTCTGATTAGTACTTCTGCAAGTTTTATTTTCTGTTTCCTGTTTAAATCAATTGACTATTTTTGCCTACTAAAAACGAAACCTGTAGTAAATTTCTAACTTATCCATAAATATTTTTAAATTAACTTCTCATAAACAAAACCAAAACCAACTTAAAAAACTGGTAACTAGCTTGATGTTCAATGACTAAACATTTAAAAACCAAGCCACAAAAAAAGTGAAAAAAAAAACAACTTTTTTTTTTACCATAAAGCTGATTTTTAAAGTTAATAACCTGCTAAACGTTTGACCTGTTGCCCTTTCTTTAACCTTGTAACCTTTGACCTTCCAGATGTTAACCTCTGAATCTGTCTTTCCAAATTCTTTAAAGGGAACTATGATAGTGAACGCCTGGCTATTGCTAGACAAAGAATACCATACAGACTCGGTCGGGTAGTTGACGAGTGGCTACTCGACAAAGGTAATAAAAGTCAATTAACTAATTAATTAATTAACCACTTAATTAAGCCAAAGGATCTTTTTTTAAGAGGTGCAGCGCCACACCCTCCCCCGTGGGCGAGAGCGGCAGGATATTTGGCCCTGGGACCCCCAAATTCCTGTGATCCGTCCCCTCTTCCATAACCCCTTCGGATCCCCCCCCGCCCCGGAGCTCGGCCCTTCCGCGTTGATCGGAAAGGCTGGTTTCTCACCGAGAGGAGGGACGTGCTGTCGGCCCCGGCGTCCCCCAGCTGGTGCCCTTTGACCTCTCGAAACTAGGCCAGTACACACGGACTCCGGCTTTCTGTGCTGTGCTTGCCTAGAGTCTTCCCAGCACAGTGCAGTCCCTCTGAGAGAGCTGTTCCCTTGGAAAGCAGGGAAATTGGTTTGGACAGTCTTGCACAAGTCAAAACTGAAAAGGGTACAGCAATTCTTGCAGGACTGGGATGGATTGACCCCCTGAGTCTACAGCCCGAGTGCCTGAACCAGTTTAACGTGCTCGCCCAATCGCAGGTTCGGCTCTGTGATCCAGGCGTCACGGGTTCGAGTCCCGGGTCATGTCGTCACCTGACTGTGGCTAAGATTCCTCAAGGACGGGGCTGGGGTGCGTCAGCCAGGGTATTCCTGGCCACGCGGCGCCCCCTGCGGCCTCCCTTGCAGCTGCTTGCAGGCACACGACGCCGTGAGTGAGGGACACGGCTCTCCTCCAATCGGCTCTGATCCTCGTCTTTGAGGCGGGGCTGCCTGTGATGTACTACCAGATGATTGGCTGAAAGGGAAGGCGGGCGGGGCAGAGGAGTCTGCCCTCACTCCCCCCCTCCTCTTTCCCCCTTTTGCAAGGATCATGCGAAAAAAAAATGTAAAAAGTAGTTTACAGTCTGCTGTAACCGATACATCGAGCACACACAGATTGCAATGAGAAGACAACAAACTAATGGCAGAGCTGGGAGATGATAAGATCCTAGTTATCCCCAACAGTGTCACCTTCACCTCTCTTGTCTGTGGCGGTACAGGCAGGACGCTCAGTCCCCGATCTCGATCAAGCCCCCTGTGTTTTCCACTAGAGGGCGCTCTGGGCCCTGTCACCCTGGAGGTCCCTGCAGGGCTGCTGTCCAGGGGGTACGCTGGGATAGTCCCAGAGCTGACTCATTGCCCTCACCATTCCAATTGGATTGTGCCCTCCCCCCGCCTCGTGTCTGCCTGGGACGGCAGTACCCCCCCAGAAAATGGGCTCCACTTGCCCGAGACTGGCGCTGCACCTCTTCAGACCTAAACGCCTCCAATAACCCTAACATAACCTTCGACCTTTAACCTGCTAACTTCGTCCGCCTTAATAACTCCTGTATGTAAATAGAGACAGCTGCCTCATCCTGCTCTTCTGACCTGTGTCTTCTGTTTTACCCTGTGAAGCTTTCTAACTATGCTTATGTTGGGTTTCTTTAAAAAAAGAATCTAATTAACCACAAATCTGAAAAAGGGGGACAAAATGACTAACAACCAGCCAGAGAATCTTTAAAAGTTAAAGGGACTGATTTAACACCAAAAATGTTGTTTAACCAAACGCTACCGGAAACTAAATGGAGCCAAAATTTTAAAAAAGGACTTTCACCTGCTTTAACCCTTTGAGTGCTAAATGTTCCAATGGCTTGTTTAGTCCTGTCTGTTTGGGCTGCTGAAGGTGGTTGATTCTTTAATTATTTGTTTTGTCTCTCTACGTAATGGGTCAAATGGATTGAGCCGGTTCCCTCCTCTTCCCCGATCACCACACAAGACACAGGGTTTGTGGGTAATGTCACCATGTGACCAGTAGAGGGCTTGGGGGGGGGGGGCGGGGCATGGCCAGGAAACAGGAAACAGGAAACAGGAAACAGGATGGATTGCAAAGCTCTTTGGTCCAAGGTAGGGTTCCACAGCCCCTGTCCTGTAGGGGGCACTCTCTCTGCAGGTTGTCTATGCCTTTTTAAAGAATTAGAACCTGCAGAACATAGGAGAAGCTGCCAAGTCACCAATAACGAGTCCAATAAGGAGCTGATTTGGGTCGTTAAGAGCAGAGATCGAAAGACATTCCACCAGTCCGTCCAGGGCCAGTACTGAAAGCCCAGCTCCAGGGTGCTAAAGTCCAGAGCCTTGTGTGGGGGGAAGGAAAACAAAATCTCTCTTCCTCCTTCATGTCGTCTCGTGCACTGTTTTTAACCTTGAACGACTGTCTGCCTGTTGTTCACAAATGGGGTGCTTGGAGCAAAATGCTTTGGAAGTCGACATTTAGGAATTGATGGCTTCAGGCGCAGAAGGAGGACAGATACACGTCAAATGGGAACAACTGATAAAAAACTAGAGCGTCTCAGCTGGCAGGGCTGAGCCCGGTTCTGTGTGTCGGAGCACAGTGGGCCGAGACTCCACAGGCCGGGCTCGAACTGGGCAGAGTGCCTCCCCCTGGGACATCCAAGTGCTCTCTGTGCGCAGTTGGTGCTTTCCTACAACACTGATTCCTTATAATGGTACAGCACCCCACCTGGGTGGCGCACAATGATTATTCTGCACCAGCAGCCCCACCTGGGTGACGCACAATGATTATTCTGC